AGAGTTGGTATCGTCCGCTGTCGTTGTATACACGAGACTTCCGTGACAGGAAGCCATTTTTCACGACGTTCACGAAGAATATTACTTGCGCCCGCCTGACGTTTTAATCGATCTGTAAATACTTATCGGCGATGGCGAATGAGATCTGGTTAACTCGATGGACGTATGAAAATAATTACGCGCGGCAGTAAACGAGGAAGATTGAACAAATTGAGCGAAAAAATGTTTAATTCCACATTTCCAGAGATCTGCGTTGGAAGTTAATGCAAAAAGTTAGCGCGCATTGCACGCGAGTCTGACATTAGTTCATGATAATTAAAGCAGCATCCATATAAAATCCAGCGAATATGCGTTGGAAATATATACAAAGGACAAAATCATTATCGATAAATTCGTCGCGTTAAAATTCATCGTCGATAATTTCGGAAAAATTGGACACAAAATACGCGCGGTAGTAACGAAAGAATGACGATAATTCGGACCGCTTTCCAATTGGCGTTTCCCTCGACGTTTCCAAACTCCGCGATATTTCCCGTAATTCCGGCATGTGTATTCAAAATATTCTTTTTTTTTTTCCAACTACAATCTCGTACTCTTTTATAGAGTAGCGGCTCGTTGCACGAACGATTCGTTATTACGTGTGTCCCGGGTGCATCGTTGCGATCAATGCGAGCGCTCCGCTCGAGATGCACATAAATCGTGTGTCGCGTGCATGTAAACACACGGACGGACGAACGGACAGAGCTCGGTCGCTCGTGTATATGCGGAAGTATATTTGCGCTCACACATACACACCTCGCCGCCGCGCCGTCGCGAACCGGAACTACTTGAAACCGTCCGAGCAGGTGCTTCGTAAAAGCCACACATCGGCGTTTTGGCACGGTTTCATTCCGCCGAAAGGATAGGTAAAAGCAGGAAAAAGTCGAGGTGGATCGCTCGTTCGCCGTGAACGGCTGATTTACCGTCGACTTCACGAGATTTATGAGAAACTCGCGCATCTGATGTCGTAATTCCGCCTGTAATCACGTGTCTTATAATTTGCCGGCGTCTAATTCCGTATAAAATACTAACTTGACTTACATCGATAATCTAACTTTAACTTATCACGTTTCATCACACGTGCTTCAAAATTTTAGTCAAGATCGCCGTAAAGATCGATCTCGGCAGCGTCTTAACGTCCGGCATTACGGTCTTCGCGATTTTCTTTCGCTTTCGCTCGTCACGACTTCGTCTGCGCGCGAGCCGGTTCCGAGGAAAGATTCGTGCCCGCCCTCGGTTATCTATGCAATTCCAGCGTGGTCGCGATAAGTGCTCTCAGATTTACAGTTTAATGCACAACCGTCTTGCCCCGCGCTCGCGTTTCGCCCGCCACTCGTCTCTAATTACTCCGGGCCGAGGCTTCGGCCTTAATTGAAATACCGAGTCCCCTTGCTAACGTTCGCCCGAGAGCCTGTCGTGGCGCCGGGCGCCGTTGTGAAGTATCGGTGCAAAATATTCAATCTTGTAACAGTCAGCACGATTACCGCTCTCGAGAGGTTCATTCTTCAACTTGGCGTCCTCGCAAATCGCGATCACGCCAAAGTCAGAAAAGCAAATTATCCGCGCACACTCGACAAATCTTTCTTTTGTCGCTTGACATTACTGTATTATTAAATCAATTACATTATCAATGACATTTCTCCGACAATCGTCGGGAATAATGGCTTCCTTCCAAGTCGCCTTACATGAAAAATATTGATTTCCAACGGCGACGACATCATATCAGCCGACGATATCAAATATCGATCTTAGAGAGATATAAACTTTATCTGCGATTCGTGTCTTCGTCGATCGCGTCATTTCCCTGCAGACGAACCGCTTTCTTCGCGCCCCTTCCGCGCGCATATATCCGTCACAAAAATGAATTCACGAAATCTGCTCCCTGACATATAAAAGAATATCCCCCTCCCCCTCCCCCTTCCTCCTCTCCCGATCCGACCGTCTACGCGGCCTCTTCGTCTTCTCCTCGTCGTAGCAGGGAAACGCGAATCCCGGCGTTTCTCATAAAGTCGCGAGTTGGCGCGTAATCGCGGGTATATTAAAGCGCGAGAAGATCAGCGTGGGGAAGATTCCGCGAAATATAAGGAGAATTCCGCCGACGAACACTCGCACACACCGTATAAGCGCGGTATGACGAGCGTCAAACGAGAATCCGTGCACATCCGCGAGTAGCGTCTCAAAAATGATACGTGCCATGTCCCCGCGAGACCGCGAGGGCGGTAATTTTTTCGCGGTGTTGAGAAGGCGAGCTGTATATAAAAATCATTAGTAATCCGCCGCGGAGGCTAGAAGAACACAGGTGATTTTTAATTAACGCATGCTGCGAAAATTCCGCGAATCCGATCGTTCTTTTTATCTAAAAAGTTCCGCGAAAAAATTCTGTATATCTCATTTATCGGCTTATCTATGCTCGCTCGTCATTTTCGTTTGTCCTAATATTATGCAATAGCACAGCGATGTCTACGAGGCTTCTGCACTTATCATGAATGTATAATGCGATATACATACTCGGCTGATCGTTCCGTGCAAGGCACAGAAATAGCGGTCGATGGATGGGAAGATTGTAGGTTATTTCCCTGGCATAATATTAACAACCGTGTCGTGCGCTTCTTTCTTTGTCCGACAACATTCAGACATTTAGATAATGACGCGGACTGGCGCGTCATCGCGATATCACTTTGACGTAGCGTTCGCGGAAGCGATTAGCTGTAATTTCTATCACTCGATATCGACTCCAAGAATATCTCTCATTAGACCTTCCGATGAAAAGAGGGAAACGTGGACAATCGACGTTCCCGTAGTAATTTCAAACCTTTTTGCCGGAGCGTCGTCGTGTCGTGTAACGTGAACGAGAAAGGCGGTTGGTTTCTTCGCGTATGTCGAGAATTCGGTGTCGAATTCGTTTTGTGTCTCCCTTCGACGTTTCCGCGATGTCGAGTAACGGAAGCGTACGTTCGGTCAGATGAAGGATGACACTGAAACTATGAAAGTCACCGACCTTTCGGAGGAAGGTTTCCGCGGCAAAACCAAGTCCGAGTCGTTCGCGCGAGTTCGCCGAAGAAACGTGAATCGATGAAAACGAGATGAACGACGCGGCGGGCATAAGTCGAGAAGAGAATTACGTTTTTTTTTCTTTTTCTTTTTTTACGCCTCTCTCGTGTCGTGCACTCAATCTCCCGGCTTGCGAGAGTAGTAAACGCTTAATGCCGATGCCCGCCGCGCCGTCTTCCGTATAGTAATTATTCGCCGCGCATCAAACTGAAAGAATTGTAACGCGGATAATAAAACTGCCTGGAACGAAGAATAAGATGTAAGCTGGGCAAGACGCGAGAAATGGCACGTCGCTTTTTATTGTCGACGTTCGCCGGTACGGCGTAAAAAATCTTTCCAAGGTGACGGTAAAAGAAATATGCGGTTTTTAAAAGCGCTCGCGTTTCACTAAAAAATACAGTGTGATAAATTTCATGTCAAATTTCGCTTAGCGACATGTTTATGAGGCGATTTTATTTTGTGTAATATTTTCAATTTGCGGCGTTGCATAACTTAAGACTTGATTCTCGTTATAATACAATGATGTGGCGCGTAATCATCGCTTTGATTTCGCGCAATTATTTATGACGTGAATTTATACAAGAGTATTAAAATGCGAATCGAAATGACACTATTTATGAGCCACCCAAGTAGTACGACCTTGCGCTCGATCAGACGGCGTTTAATGCGAGGAAAGTAAGTAATTCTTTCTTCTCCGACTTCCCTTCTGCTCCGCGTCATCTTAATATCGTGATATCTGAGTAAAGGAATTCTTCGAGCAGCTGTCGCGCCCGTACCGCGACATTATTCTCGGAACCTTCCTAAGTGAGGATATTAATCGCTGAGAAGTTACGCTTGACCGAGTTTCTTCGGGATAAATGAAGAGAATAGCATGTCTGTTGAATGTAATCACGTTTCATCGAACGCGCCGTCACTTTGCATTATTACTAATCAAATATTCGAGTATTTATTATTCGAGGCATACATGTTAAGCAATAACGAAGGCGATGAATATTCAGATAGATAAAGAAACTCGCCGTTATTTAAACTCGCATAATTGTGTACAGTCAATTTAAAAAAATAATAATAATTTTGTAATCAAGGGAACTTTTTGTAGTTTCCGCAATTATCCCCTCCTCACTTCGTAGCGGAGTAAGAAATTTATCTTCGCTCGACAAACAACGAATGTTTGGACACGCTTCAGTTTTGCGGAACGGGGCGAAGAAAAACATCGGATCGGCCTTCGCGTTTTCTGGGCCGATTCTTCCCAGTGTGCTCCGGCGAGTAGTAAACACTTTAGCGTGTTCCCGCGGATATGTTCGACAAACACGTTCCAATAAGCACTTTTATCTCAGCTTTTAACGATGAATCGTACTCTCGGCGACAGTGGGGCGTGAATAACCGGAACCGGGCCTCTCGTACATACATGTATACGAGCGATTAAAAGCGATACGTTACGTCGCGCGAACTCGCCCGCACGAATGCTTTAATGAGAGTACCTGATGGGGAGGTGGACCTACATTGACATTCCGGCATACACACACACACACACATACACAAAGATATACCCGGGAAAGTGATGCCGCGCAGACGAAAGTGGAATAATTCACCACGTTCGTATATTTACGCGAACGCCGTAAGCGAAAGCTTGCGATTATCATGTTACGCGCTTCTCTGATAATTATTCCTGTTCTCGTGAACTGCAAAATTATCCTTCACCGACTGTGAAAGCGAACGCTTTCTTCCCGTTTCGCGCGAAATGTAGACATTTTAATAATGTCCCTTACAAATCGCGGAGCGCAAGAAAGAACCTGTTCGAGGCACCTACCGCAATTTTTCTTTTCAGTTTCCGCTATTTCGAGAATTACTCGCATTGTCTCGTGGCTCGCCTTAACTTCTTCTCTACACGAATGCCATGAATAGAGACTTACCAATCCCGCGTTGCCTTCGCGACGAACTGTCTCTGGTTCTCCCTATCGATCGGCATGGAACGGTGATAGCGATGATCATCAGAGTTGACAACTGAATGGCAAACAAGGCGGGTCTCGTTTCGGTCGAGGATCGTGAGGTTGTAAGACGACGCCAGGAGCCGGGAACCCATTCGATCCAAAGCCACCCACGATTTACCGGCCACCACCCAGGACGGAAACGCGCAATGCTGCGGTAGCTTTTCTGTAACGTGAAAAGATGGCCGTGGAGAGAGAGAGAATCCCCTATTTGTCGCCGTGGTTCTCTTCCGCGACGCAAATTTCGCAAATGTGTATTCATGATATTCTTCCCAATAAGAGGATTGAATCGGAATTATTTGCGAGTTCCCAAATATTTGACGCTCCTTCTCTCACGGACTTGCTTCTTTGTATATTTATCGTCCTCGTCTAACTACGTTAAATTTAGATTAAAACTTGAAAGCGCGGAACAATTATGGTTTAACAAACGGGAAAAATTGTATGCGTATTTAAACGGCGTTTCCACGAAAGTTTTGTCTCATTGGTATTCGCAATTATCGAAAATATTTTAGTGTTTTTTTTTTTTTTAAAGCTGAGACTCAAGATTGTAAAGTTGATTATCGCCGCAACGTCAACAGTTTAATTTCTGTAATTTCCATCTCCACATTGCAAATTCGGACGACTGTTAAATTCAAATGTAATTACGTGTCAAGAAATAGCTGCGGCTTTATTCTTAGGGAGCGCTGTAACTCCGCTTCTAACGCAGTTATTTCAAACTCGAAATGCATAATATATACTGTAAGCTCGTTCCCGACTCTTTAAGTTCACGGGGTCCTCGAGCAGATAATCCGGCATAAGTAAACTTTGACCTCTCTTCTTCCTACGTCGCGTCGTAAACTTCGTTTCCAACGGCATGCCGGCTGTTTCCGGCGCATTATCAGGTTCTTGCACGCTTCGTCAAAGAATTTTGTCGAAAAAGGGGAAGGAGGGGCAGAGAAAATAGAAATCGACCGGTATTCGACCGGTCCTCCGTTCGGAATAATTCTGCGCTAATTACAGCGCACTTTTAACGGCGTTATATTCGTAACTAGCGTAATTATACGCGAGCGACATACGTCACACGCGAACGTGATGTATATTAACCAACTCATTAGCTTCATTAACACACTTACACACGCGCGTTGCATTACAACGTGTAATTCACGTGCGCATTGCATTGTCATTGTCGCTATAATGATGCGGAATTGTTCTCGCAATTACTGATAAAATAAAGTCGTATCGTTCGTGGAAATATTTAAAAAAACAAATCGTGAAAATATTAGATCGATTGTAATTTTGTAATAATATACATTTGAAAAATATGAAAAACTATTAAAAACGTCGTACATAAGATGAAGTTATCACGTGCTGGCAACGGCAGCCGCTATACGTTGACGCAAATAATTTGCTATAAACGCGCGACAGCTCTGTCGCCGGCGAACAGTTATCCTGTCAATGGTCGATTGCTCACGGCCATCAATCACCATGCACCGTGGAATTAATGGACCGTTAAAAATGCACGAGCAACAAAGTATGCTGCGTGCGTGCTGCATACTCTGCGACTGCCAGCCTGCGTGCAACTAAAAGCTAATCGATAATTCAATCGGGTGTATGCGTGCGCCGTAACGCTATAGGTCGCCGAAATTGCGCTGCTTATCGCGTACGTCGCCGCGGATGATAAGGGAGAGGCATAACGATGGCGATAAAGAAACGGCCGGGTATCCACGTAATTGTTTCATTATGCGATCTATGTACCCGCGATATAATTATCTTCTTATGCGTATTTTCTACGTGATACGCACTGGTTTCTATCTAATTAAAATTCCTATCTTGCCGGGGAAATTTTCAAATTTATGACAAAACTTGCATGCACGTTACATAATTTATAAAGAATTTTAAGTTATAATTAATAAGTTTCGGATTTTTGTTACGCGCAAATTAATCTTCGCGCAAGACGATAGAGAATAAAACTAGTTTGATGCACTCGGTATTACGTCACGAGGCGTCTTCGACAAAGTGTTTCGCCAAACACGAATTATCGCAAGTACGCTATATAATAGCTTGGAATTTAAGTGCAAAGAAGAAACGCGAATTTTCTTTTTAACGTTTTATCGCAGTCTTGCGACGTAAGAGCATGCTGTGTATAACAAAATGCGTATTAAAATGAGTCACGCCCGCGGCGAAATGGAAGAAGAAACGTATGCTTTGTTTAAAGTAAATTACGCTCATCCTCTTATCTTCCTTTGCAGTCAGACCGCATGTAATGCCATTGCATTACCGCGAAAAGATTGCAATTCCACAGTGCGGCGGTTATTTGAAAACGGCAATCTAAAATGAAAATAGTATCTCCCGCGGAAAACGTTGCGGGAGTCCTCCGCATTAAATATGATTGTTCATACTGTAGCCAATTTTTTAATTGTCTCGTACAAAGAAACTAGCTTCTGAAATATGGGATATGAAGATAAAAACTTTCTTAAAAACGACTCTCAATCAGATTAGCTCGAGAAAAGAATAACGATGCGAAACTTAACAATACGGAATGCAAAGAGTGTGCGGGAATATGCAAAAATGTTTCAAAATCTAATATCTGTTTTACGATACATACTACTACTATTCCGATATTTCATAAATACGTATATATGCATTTCCACACCGCGCGATGATATTCTGCGTTTTTCGCGTAACTGTATTTCTTCCGTTACTGTACATACTTGTTCTGGCTTTCTACTCTTCTCGCTTTATCACAATATTTTTCGCGAAAATTCTAAATGCACGGCAGTTTTCGAAACAACGTGTAAACCGCGTTTTGAAACTATCGCGATCTCTTCTTAGTGGAAAGATTAGGATATATATTTCAATTTATTATTTCTTTAAATATATCTTGCTCGAAGTTATCGTCAGCATCGTCGCATTTGCATACAATTCTTACGAACCGATTATAAGCGTGTACGGTGAAATAGTACAAGAAAGAATAAGAAAGAGACGTGAATTTACATATCGGCCAGATAGAATTTATCGCGCGTTGGCGAATAACGTTCTCTTCATCTAACGCGGGGCGGGCACTTCGGGGCGGGAAGCCCGGCGTAGCTCGAGATCCCGGGGCTAATCTGCTTCCTGGAAAGTTTAAATGGAAACGCGGTACCCGGTAGGAGGTTAACGAAACATCCGCGACGCCCGTGGTAAGGGCGCCGTTGAAAAATTTTTAAGCTGCTTAACGCTCGAGTTGAATTTCCTCTAGCAGCCGCGGCAGCGATTTCGAAATATTAAGCGGCAGCTTTGTCACTCCTCGATAACATGTCTGTCGATTGCGTGACAGACCGCGTATAATAAACGTATAAACGCAGCGATATTAATATAATGAGATAATAATAAAATAACATCCGAGATTCGTCGCGGTTGGAATGGAAAAATTCGAGCGTGCCGAGCGAAAATCAAAAGCGGATAAACTGGAGACCCATTTGGCAGGTTTACTCGATAACGAGAGCTCACCGCGAAGCTCATCCTTCTTCACAATGAATATACTCAGTCATACCGATCGTCCCCGGCGTACATTTGCGTCCGTTCGACCGAGCCGCCCGCGCCCGTTCGTCGCCCTCAATATGGTTAACCGTGAATCCTGCGACAAGAGCGTCCCAAACCGGCAGGGCTACGTGTAGCTATGCGATACCGTGGAATACCCGAAGTACCTGGCGTTGACCACCGGACGAGGCCAACGCTAGTATGCCGGACAAGAATCCGATCTGGTGTCCGCAGGCACTCTCATAGTTTACGTGCTCTGTGCTCTCGTTCTCGGGACCTCCGCACGTACGGCGGCTCCGAGGTATACGCGCCGATCCGCCACCATGGCCTCTCATCGCTATATATCGATTAACAGCCCCTCGCGGAATTTCGATCGTTATATTCGATCTTACGCGTCTCGCGCGACGAACGCCGAAACGCGGCCAACTCGTCGCGCCGCGGGTGATTGCGATCGGCGCTATTCCAGAAAGTCGGACAATCCTTTTCTAATTTTTTTTTAAATTAATCTTTACGCATTTAGCGTTAAAATATATTAAAATAGTTTGTACACTTAACAGATAGCGAAAAATATATTCTTGGAAGATATTAAGAGACAGCGCTATTCCAGGAAGTCGAACAATCCTTTTCTAATTGCATTAAATCTATTGCAAAATATATTAGAATAGTTTGTACGCTTAACCCTAGACAGACTCACTTATTTTTCTCATACGTAAATGACTCACTGGGGTAATACATTACCCCAAACTTGTACCGCGTGTATAATATTTCCAGAATGTTCTTAGAAAACTTTATAATAGATAATTTTTTTTTGTTTGATAGGGAAGACGATAGTAGTCATCAATTTGCGGTAGTAAAAAAAAACAGTAATAAAATTTCGAAAAACAAAACAAAGAACCAAAAATTTGGCTGAAATGATGCAAATTTGAATTTCACGTGGGGTAACGTATTACCCCAGTGAGTCTGTCTAGGGTTAATAGACCGCGGAAAATATATTTTTGGAAGATATTAAGATTTACGTGTGGAGTTCTTAAAAAGAACGTATAATAATGAAAAGATGGAGAGGACTCACTCTGTGTCATCTTGAACGTTCTGGCGGCCTCGCTGACGCTGATCAATCCATTGCAGGCGGCATCCGAGCTCTGCGCGAGGTTCCACGTGTTGTTCGATGGATTTGTGTAAATAAAGCATCTATAGCTCTCCTCGTCGCTTGTTTTACGATCGTTACGATCGCTGTGCAAACGCGCGACCATGTAATTTGTGCTGCCCTCCCTCCAATGAGCCAGACACTCCAATTCTACGTCTAGAAAAACAAAACCGTTACAACTGCAAATTGGCATGTATCCAATAATAACCGTTGTTATTTTTTTTTTCGCTCTTTTTTCCCCTCCCCCCGTTTTATACCCGGGATACACGAGTGATCCGTTGATGTGTACATACACGGCCGTTGGGGCGCAAACGTTTACGGGGCTTTACAGAAAACATAAACTGCAGCGCGCGTTAGAGTTAGCCAGCTGACGGGGAGGTTCTCGCGAAGGTATATCAAAGCAAAACGAAAATTCGGTCGTGATTCTCCAGCCTACGCGCGACCCTATTAGTAACAGAGTCGTAAATAGAAGTTTATCGCCGCTGTGTCCCCGGATAAAGCTATCTGCAGAAGTTATAAACGGGGGTAAACGATATATGAATGTTCATGAAAACGCATTATACCATACGTATTCGCCGTACGCGGATCCGCGGGACGTGTGTTGCGCGCGATGCAGCGCCCGTGTATTCATTTATCCGCGTGCAGCGTATCGAGATAGACGATCGGGCACGGGCCGATGATAATTGCGCAAAATCGTTTGGACAAGCCCAGCAACAAATGGTAATTGACAAGGCCATTAATCATTCATTCCGAAGCCGCGAGCTTTATTGACCGTTACAGGCCTTGCGCGTCGTGTTAATTAATGTCAAAGCGGATGTTAACGTCACCGCGGGAACACCGCCGACGTCATAATTCCTTTTTACGTGCCGAAATGCCGCGCGCGCCGTAACGACATGACGAGTCGACGAGTCGGAACACTTATTTCGCGTATAATTCGATCACACGGTAAATCTCGTTTCTCATAACCAGAATCAGTCCTTCGATATTTCTCCGCTCGCAATAATCAGAAGTTGCCATTTGTACGCATTTTATTGTGTTTCTTTTAATAAATTCATTTTTTTGCGATGAAAAGTCGACAAAAAATTCAAAATAAATTTAAATATTAAAATTTCGCGGGGAAAAAAAACATAAATGAGAGAAAACTCGATGGCAATAAAGCTACGAATTGCAGTAACTTTACATTCGCGGCGCACTTAAAATTTTGCGTCAATGTATCGAGGCACTCTCGGCGAGCGCTTTATAAACTATAGATTGTGACGAATTAATTATGTTATACAATAACAAAATGTCACTAGGCAGTGATTGGACTCGCGCACGTTGTATAATAATTCATAATTGTTTAGGGTATTCACTTGACAAATTATGAGCGTTTGTAAACAGGTATAACACAATTGCCGTGTAAATGGATATTGCACAATGCATGTTGGTATAACAATATTATTTTATACGCGGTATCTATTGTACGGCGCCCATTTGTTGTACGGTATCAAAGAATCCCGTAGAAAACGGACAACGCCGTAATCAAATTTGTATAATCGTTTGCATTGCGCTGGAAAGAATATAAAACAGGATACGCGCGTTATCTCCAAATCTCTCGGCCAGATTTCCCGGCGCGCTCTTCGCTGCCCAATTATGACTTTCCGTTTTAAGCCCCACGATCCACAAATCACAACGATTACTTGCATCACAATTATTCTTCAGGCTATCCAAATATTTAAGTCACGAATATGAGCATCCTCCCTGATATGATAAAATGAACGAAAAAAAGACATCTAAAGATTAAATAGGCCGCGCACCGTGGTTGACATTCGATTTATCTGCGTGTAAAATGAGGTCGTCACATGTCAGCACGATATAATGACACGGGGGGAGAATACTGACCCACGCTTTCGGACGAGTGAACGTTTGCGCACGCTTGGTAGCGCAGGAGCAGACGCGAGTCCTGCGTGCACGCTTCCGCCCGTGACCGCGGCGAATTGCACTCGCCCTCGCCCTGGCTGTACGTGAACTCCAAGGGACCCTTAATGGGACAGGGCAGCGGCGCTGCATTGGAGCGAAACAGAGAGACCAGAGTGGCGTCGCTGGTCAACGTGCCGCATTGGGTCAGCAGACTTGGTTCCGGTGAATCGCTCGTGCAATAAGCTAATAACAACAGCGAAACGTAACGTTGCATCGTCGTTCCTTGTAAATGTCGTGACGGGAATGACGAAACATAGGTACATTGGGTTTATTTCGTTTACTCAAAATAAAATTCCAAAGAAATTGCGATCTACGAGGAGGAAAGCTGCACCGAGATAACAGATAAAACGAGAAAGAAACTGGGACATAGATAAAAAGGAATAGCGATTTTGATGCTGATATTCTGATAATTAAGTTTCTTTTGCGAAAAGAAGAAATGAAAGAGAAACTAGACAAGAAAGAAGAAAAATATTAAAATAACGACATAATGTAAGATAATATATTTTATCAGGCACAAAGAAGACAAAAGATTTTAACGAGATTCAGTGATTCATAAGTTTTTACGATGCTCTGAATTAAAAAGCTAAACATCCTTTTTAAAGAACGGAACAGAATGTCATTTAAAATCTTGGTAATTAGCAATTTCTATGTCTTACTTTCTTTGTATTGCAGAACGTTGGCATGTTGCGCGTGCATTACAATACACCGGTAACATCTGTACTTCCTGAAACAGAAACGGAAAAAATAGTTTTGAGTGTTATTTTATCTATATAGTTTTTATAAATTTCACCCATTTATATTACGAACTGAAATCAATAGAAATAAAATCTACGCTATATCGTTATATAGCTCCGCAATCTGCTTTTTATGAAACACAAATCCGCCCACTGAAAGCGCGCTTTGAAAGAAGCTTCGCTTTTAAATGACAGCCTCCAAAAAATTTAAAAAGCATATATTTTTTAATAATTTTCATACGTACGGATGATTCATACGCAAAACTATATACGTAATTTAAGCAGAGAAAAATTGTGAAAAATCAGCGGATCATTTGTCAAGTATTAAGATAGATTTATACTTTATAATTGTCCGATATTCCACGTATATAAAAAAGAGTCCATTTCATAAAATTGTGAGAGAGCATATTTTATTCAACGTGTAATTACTTCGAACGATTTGTTTCAAACGCAGAGTATGCCGCGTTTTGCTTACGCCCGCTGTCGTTCCTCACCGCGGTGACTGTATTTACGTTGATTTCCGCTCTGGAAAAAGGTATAAACCATCGCGGGCCGTCCTCTATTTGAATACCGCGTAAATTTACAAACCAAATATCGAAGTAATTTCTGTCGCGCGCTGCGGTGGCGGCGGCGCTCGCGAATTTTGCTATCGCACTCGCAATGGACGCGGCGATTTCGCCGATTATCGTCCTTTTCAAAATGCACCGCTAAAGCGGATTAATATCGTTACAAGCCCGGAGCTGTCCCGGTGCGCATAGTAACAGATGCACTGGTGGCGGAGTGGCGATAGTAGCCGGAAACTATATCGGACTGACAGCCGGGAACAAAGGTAAACTTCGACTTAAGCCACCAAAGGGGAGAAAGAGAGAGAGAGAGAGAGAGGGAGGGAGGGTACCGGAGGGTTGGAAAGGGGTGAACTGGGAAAAGGGGTAGAACGGGAAACAGTAGAGAAGCTGCGAGAGAAGGTAAGTTGCGGACTCGGGCTAAGTAAGCAAGGTGCCAACTAGTAAGGACACAAGACAAGCTCCGAAAGTTTTAAGTAGCTATGCGATACTACTCGTTGGACTTCCCTCTCTCTCTCTCTCCTTTTCTTCCTCCCTCTCTCTTTCTCTCTCACTTATTCTAGCGACGTCATTATTGCACTGCGTTTGTCTTTTCGCTCATGCAGTCTTGTCCCTCACACGCGTGTCCCGATTTCTCTCAGCTCGTGGGAACTGGTTCAGCAACGACAGCGATCGATCGATAGGGAAAAATTCGATTTCGGACTAAAGTTAAAGTAGGAGTTGCGGGCAACTCTTAATGGGTTTTAAATCGTCGACGCAATCTCTCCATCGTCGCGGAAACGCATAAACGGTCCGCACGAACTCGCGCCGGCCATGATCCGAAAGTTACGAAGTTTGTTTGCACGTTTCGACGCAAGCTCGCGTCTCCGAAAACGATTCGGACCGCGGGCATCGTTCCGAGCGATCGTATTCCACAATGCGGGAGAGAGACCGCAACGGATAGCCTGGAAACGCAGCTGTTCGCAGTTAAATGCGGACGCCTTTGTCTGGAGAACGGAGGCGCTTTGTCAATAGAAATCGCCCCGCCGAAATTGTCATCACTTCGCGTGAGCGTTTCTCTAATGACTTTTCTCGCGGACTTCTCTCGCACTACGATCACACACAATCTTCGTTTTTCATTATTATAAATTATAAATTTCCATAATTATAAATTTTGCTTCGTCGTATTACCCGAAGACGACGTACGTGATTCGTTGCTTTCTCTCCAAACATTCAAACATGTTCGAGGGCGCTGCTCCATCCGCGCCCAAGTTTTCTCTCTCTTTGATAAGTCACTTTCGCATCAGCGAGCTTATCGTCATCGTTGGCGTAGTAATGAAAATTTGTTCAATTTTTAAATATTTACGATTCTCACACTGAGAAAAAAAATTTGTCAATCCCAAGAAATATTTAGTCCGATACGTTCAACTAAACATTTTAGTTAGTTAACTAAACATTAGTTGAATTAATTAATTCTTGATTAAAGAAACGAAATAAATTGTTGAAACAACTAATATTTAGTTAACTAAAATGTTTAGTTGAACGTATCGAACTAAATATTTCTTGGGATTAACAACTTTTTTTCTCAGTGCAGTGTTAAAAATTATTCTAATTCGAACCTTTCTTCCCTAAAGTAATAGTAATTAGACATTTATGAATCATGCAAATATTCAACATTAAATATTATAAAGATTCTGATACGTCACGGATTCCTCTTGTAATACGTTACGTAAATCACGATAAAGTTAATGACGGCGAACACTTGTGTGTTCGTCATAAACCATCTTGATTCCGCCGCTTGATCCAGTCACCTCGTTCGTTCCCCGCCGAACGTATTTACTTAATCGTCTTGCCAAATGGTTTATGTTAAGTCGAGTATTCGCATTTTAACGAGAGAGTCGCCGTTAAAGTCACCCCTTCCTCGACCCTCGACAATTCTGATGCTTCATCGCTCGATGAACTTCGCACTAATAACGCGAGACGAGAGACGAGAGACGAGACGAGACGAGATGAGAGATCGTTTCTCGTTCTTTCCGTTCATTCCTTCACTGTCTCTCGTCGGATAATATATATCTATATTAATATAAACCTGCCATGATCTTCCCATTACGCGTGAGTTATTAATGACGTGAATTATTAACACGAGAATTATCTCCGGGGAGTAAGCAACAATTTCAAATACGATATCGATCTCGCGTGCGCCACGAGATCCGCGGATAAGGGAATTTCGGTGAAGGATTAATAAACTCGCCTGATTCCGTCGTTATCTTGCACACGACGACTATATCTCAATATGTTAATTTGCAACGTCGATTATTTCCGCTCTCGCGCACGAAACTTTTGTTTCTTTTTGCATAAACGTCCCCGCGTCTCCGTTCGTAATCCATACGTCGAATCGCGTTCCGTGTTTGTGTTTTAATCCGATCGCTACCCTGCACCGTTGGCGTCGAACATTTCAGAATGCAAATTCGTAATCTTCTGTTTTCACATGTTGACATCTTGCGTAAACATCCGGTACAGCGTAATCCACATATTCCATTCAGTTTCGCTCGTATCGGATTATCGCGAACCGCTGATATTACAGAGAGCGATAATAACTAGTTTTTATCTCGTCATTTTGTGAATAACGGAAACGTGGCGGGGGTGACGTTGCGGAAATGATCCTCCACTGTCGTTCAAACTTACAATTAGCATGTAAATTTTTTTCGAATAAAAGAAGAAGGAAAGGATATTTCGGAAGAACGTTTGATACGATTCCGAATGCGATTCCGAACAAAGACCAAGAAGAGATAAAGAAGAAACCGAGTATCCTAATGCATCATGATTAGCCAAGATAAAAACATAGCGGAGGGCTGAGTCTCGTCGAAGTATCAAGATCCAAATTGCCGATCACGGAGCAACGATACTATTTGCATTGTCTAATAGCTGGATAGCGTGCGAAGGGCGCGCGTTAACCTCAGTTTTACCCTCTCTCTCTCTTTCGAGGAGCGTCTGACACGGTCTCGCTCGCCAAAACCCGTTTCCCGGAGCATGGTTTATTGATTTCTCTAGTGCGTAAATACGTGGCATGGCACTCCGCTAACGACGCCCACGAGAGAGCATTGCGACGCGAACGAACGCGTACAACCGCGTCGCCGAAAGCAACGTTTTCATAAATTATCGTTCGGTCCCCGGCGTCCTCGTCGAGAGAGGGTGCGGTGAACTTTTTGGCCACGCCGTTACGATCATTATCCGCAAATTGTCCGCAGAGGTTGGAAATCAGACCAGAAATGGATCGTAAACGAGACCGCGAAGAGAATCTGCAAACAATTTAAAACTATTGCGCGATTTCGAAAATTAGGTGCTCAACATCGCAGAATCGAATGCGATTAAATTCGTGTCAATTAGCGTTCGTTCCGTGTATCGATTTTATAAATTACGTAAATATGTAAAAAATCAATCTTTAACTCAAATATAATTTTTTTCCACGCAATATATTTATATATCTCTTGTTCTAGCAATAATATATTAGATACGTAAATATATGGTAGCTAATCGTGAGATTAAATTGGTTCGCGTTAATTTTACTGAATAAAGTACATTGCGTCGCGTGTGTTCAATATTCAACACCCCGCAAAACAGGTCAAAATTAGTAACACAAAGATAACACAGCGGGTACGAAGTGGAAACGTTGTAGACCAGCGCAAGTGCGTAAATACCGAGGAGATTCTTCGCGGTAAGGTTGTTACACAAAGCGGCGAAAATGAACCGCCCGCGAAACAAAAGCAATCTGTCCATACATTATCACCTCGCGGTATCTGCAATGAGATCTTTTAAATGGGTTATACCCGGCGTTAACTGGGTACCGCATACACACAGACACACACAGACGCACACAAACACACACGTACACACATGTAATTTTCACGCAATACATTTTATCTAGTGGTTATATTACCTCCCGTTCTTGCGCCGATGCGCGCCTCCTGCGATGACTATGGTTCGATGAACGCAATTAAATCTGCTTATCGTAAACATAATTAAATCACATTTACTTATATTACGATTAAACTGCACGTGTCCCTTTTATAAATTCAATTTTCGAAAAGTGCTATGTTAATTTACGTTTGCAAAGCCGCTTAACTTTTTTGGAAAACCTATTTCTTTAGATTGATATTTCTCTTCAGTAAGTAGGGTTTTTCGTTTATTAATAAATATAAACTGACGCTCGCATTTAATGTCGGCAAGCATTTATCTGCGCTAAATGTAACGCAATGCCGCGTTTAAACAAATCTTATGCGAGTGCTCGTATTTCTGCCCAAGTGTCCAGATCCAACGAGCACACGTTCACACATGAAAACAACATTGTTTTGAACAATCACGGAGGTACGCAAATTTATTGTGGAAGGCGGATTACGAATATCGACGGGGGGTGACCCGGTTTACGCTACCCACGGTGTCACATA